CCCTTCTCCATTCTCCTCTTGGGATCTTGGGCACACAGGCACACACCTGAGTTTTAAGCTGCCGGGTCCAGGACTTAAAATGTAGTTGACTACGTGGGAGTTCAGCAATATGCCCATTATACCATCTGATGGTCCCTCAAGTTGAACTTATTTTTTTTAAAGAATTATTTTATGTAACTTTATTTTAATTTGCCCAGAGAGAGACAGTGAGAGAGAGAAGGTGAAAAACAAGCTGCCAGATCCAGGGCTCTAACTGAGATTGGCCATGTGGGAATCCAGCACACTTAACCACCACACCACCTGCCAGCCCTGGAGTTTAAAACAAAAAAAATTTTTTTTTCTTTTTTTTTTAAAGAGGTTTTTGCTATAGGACACATGCGCTCACCAGAAAGAGACAGAAAGTGAGAAATCACCCCCCAGGGGAGATAGCCATGCCGCGATCCCTTCTCCATTCTCCTCTCTGGATCTTGGGCACGCATGCACACACACCTGGCATGAGTTTAAGCCACCAGGTCCAGGATTCTAACCACAATCAACTACATGGGAGTCCAGTGATGTAGCCATTACACCAACTGCTGGTCCCAAGTTAAATTTTTTTAAGTCTTCTTTATTTCTTTTTGCTCGTTTCATTCCTCTTCCTTGAGCTTCTTTTTGGAGACTTTGGGCCTGTTGGCCTTTCTATATAGATGATACCCTGTGGCAATATACCCTTCACCAGCTTTTGCCAGTAGTTGGCTCAGATCAGTGCAATCAGCTCCACATCATACTGCACCACTGCATCAGCTGGGATGGATGGTGGAAATCCCCGTTTTCCAAAGGCCAAATGAGAAGAAATGATTACCCTTCGCTTCTCTCCCACATACATGTCTAGAAGGCTCTGCTCCAGACCTGGGATCACCGGTTTTTGCCCAAGTTCTATAACCAGAGGGTCTCTGGCCAGCGAGGTATCGATAATACGTCCATCTGTCAAGCTGCCCGTGTAGTGTAGTGAAACGTGTCTCCAAAAGCAGCGGACTCAGCACATGGTTTCAGCATCCCCACTTGGAGGGTCCGGACCGGACTTTCAGTTTCGAACTCAGCCTCAGCCAGACACGCCGCTCCACTGAGCAGCAGCAGCAGACAGAGCAGGAGTAGCGAGGGGCACAGGGTCATGACTGGACACCAGGACAGGCTGCTCAGGTGGTGGCAGCTAGGACAGTGTTCCCCCGGCGCCCAGGCCAGACTGGAAGGGCCCAAGTTAAATATTTTTAACAGTAACACTTCACAGATGTAGTTCATATGTCATCACATCAAAAATATCAATATCAAGTTAACTCGCTATTCTGATGATGATGTGACATTTGTTTTGTTTTTGAGATACAGAAAGCAAGAAATCACCACCACCACCCCAGGGTGATGGCCACACCACAATCTCTTCTCCATTCTCCTCTTAGTTGGGCATGCACATACAGGAGCCCAGCATGAGTTTTAAGCCACCAGGTCTGGGCCTCAAACCACAGTTAACTACGTGGGAGTCCACAACATAATCATTACACCATCTGCTGGTCCCAGTGATGTGACATTTGATCACTAAGCTGAAGTGGTAAACACAACTTTTCACCTGGTGGTTTTAATGCCCAGTGATGATCCATGGGACCAGCAGTTAGCGTAATGGCTATGTTGCTAAACTCCCATGTAGTCGACAGTGGTTCAAGTCCCAGATCCAGTGGCTTAAACTCACACCGGGCGCATGTGCATGTGTGCCCAAGATCCCAAGAGGAGAATGGAAAAGGGATTGCAGCATGGCCATCCCCCCTGGGGGGTGATTTCTCACCTTCTGTCTCTCTGTCTGTCTCTGTCTTTCCGGCGAGTGCACGCGACCAACAGCAAAAACTTCTCAAAAAAAAAAAAAAAAAAACCAGTGATGAGCCTCATATGAATCAATTGTTTCATCAAGATTTGCAAAATGACAGTTTCCGAATTCTAGCATTCTTACTGTATTCAATGCATTCTTCTGTGAGGAATAATTTTGTAAGTGGGAATACACTAGAGGCAAGATCATATTTCTTTTCCTGTAATTATCAATAAGGAGTTTGATTATCATCTGCATTGATGACATATGACCCCATGTGTTAATCAATTATGATGAATTCTCATGTTCAAAATGTCCAGGTTTTGGTCCTTGGAGCCCTTCAACTAGCTCTTTTATCTATTTTTATTATTATTATTTATTTTAATTTGACCAGAGAAGAAGAGAGACAGAGAGACGGAAAGTGAGAAAGCAAGCCACCAGGTCCAGGACTTGAACCTAGGTTAGCCATGTGGGAGTTCAACATGCTTAACCACCACGCCACTTGCCAGCCCCAAGTTCTTTTTTACTCATGATAGAGCATGTGTGCACAGTTGTGTGAAAGTGAGATAGAAGGCACATCCTCAACAAGATCATACCACGATTCCCTTTCCCCGGCCCTCTAGCTCATCAGGATCTTTGGCATGTACATCCAGTGTTTTCAGGCTAACCAAGAACTCTGAACCCACAGTCAGGCTTCCAGCATTGCACTTCAGTTAGCTACCAATTGTGCTACCAGGTATGTCCTTTTGACATTCCTTCTAGTCTTTGGGCACTTACTTACCTTCTGACATGAAGTATGTCAAGTTCACCTTGCAATTTCAATGCCCCAGTCATGGAATGAGACATTTTTATAGTAATTCCTAGTGCCTTTTAATAGGCTGCTATTTAGAAAAAACCTGGGCACCAAGCATGGTCTCTGCTACTGTATGTCCTTAGTGGATCTTTCCAGCCATTCCACCTAGTTTTTATAGACAACCCTGCACTCATTTTATCAGTTGCATATTTAACTACATAATAAGAGATACAATTACAAAACTGGAATAAACTTTTTGAGAGCAAACAACTAAATCTTGCTAAGCATACAACTAAAATGGAGAGAACAGAAGTGCTATGTGTACTAGAAAGCAAATTTAACCAAAAGAGCTCTTGTGCCAAGGCCATCAGCAGATTTTACAGAGTTTATCAGATAATCTGGCAAGTGTGTTAAGAGAGCAATCTAGATAGCAACTATACGTGATACCTACCATATTATGCTTTAACGATTACATGTCTTGAAAACATGCTATAAGCTAATTACCCTCTTTCCCATCACATTTTTTAAAGAATTATTCAATTTTCTAATTCATTCATTCATTTTAATTTGACCAGAGAGATACACACACAGAGAGAGATGGGGAAAGGGAGAAAGCAAGCCACCAGGTCTGGGATTTGAACCATGGTTGGCCATGTGGGAGTGTCCAGTGCCTTAACTACCACACAATCTGCTGGCTCTCCCATCACATTTAAGGGAAGAAAGACAACCAAAACCTGCCAATTTAGTTTCTGACAAAACCTAGGTTTTTTTTT